ATGTTTCTTGAAGGTGGACAAACCATGAAACATTGTCTCCTAGCCATGTTTCTTGAAGGTGGGCAAACCATGAAACATTGTTTCCTAGCCATGTTTCTCGAAGGTGGACAATCCAGGAAACATTGTTTCCTAGCCATGTTTCTCGAAAGTGGGTAAACCATGAAACATTGTTTCCTAGCCATGTTTCTCGAAGGTGGGTAAACCATGAAACATTGTTTCTTAGTCATGTTTCTCGAAGGTGGACAAACCATGAAACATTGTTTCCTAGCCATGTTTCTCGAAGGTGGGTAAACCATGAAACATTGTTTCCTAGCCATGTTTCTCGAAGGTGGGTAAACCATGAAACATTGTTTCTTAGCCATGTTTCTCGAAGGTGGGTAAACCATGAAACATTGTTTCCTAGCCATGTTTCTCGAAGGTGGACAAACCATGAAACATTGTTTCCTAGCCATGTTTCTCGAAGGTGGGTAAAGCATGAAACATTGTTTCCTAGCCATGTTTCTCGAAGGTGGGTAAACCATGAAACATTGTTTCCTAGCCATGTTTCTCGAAAGTGGGTAAACCATGAAACATTGTTTCCTAGCCATGTTTCTCGAAAGTGGGTAAACCATGCATGAAACATTGTTTCCTAGCCATGTTTCTCGAAGGTGGGTAAACCATGAAACATTGTTTCTTAGCCATGTTTCTCCAAGGTGGACAAACCATGAAACATTGTTTCCTAGCCATGTTTCTCGAAGGTGGGTAAACCATGAAACATTGTTTCCTAGCCATGTTTCTCGAAGGTGGGTAAACCATGAAACATTGTTTCCTAGCCATGTTTCTCGAAGGTGGACAAACCATGAAACATTGTTTCCTAGCCATGTTTCTCGAAGGTGGGTAAACCATGAAACATTGTTTCCCAGCCATGTTTCTCGAAGGTGGACAAACCATGAAACATTGTTTCCTAGCCATGTTTCTCGAAGGTGGACAAACCAGGAAACATTGTTTCCTAGCCATGTTTCTCGAAAGTGGGTAAACCATGAAACATTGTTTCCTAGTCATGTTTCTCGAAGGTGGGTAAACCATGAAACATTGTTTCTTAGCCATGTTTCTCCAAGGTGGACAAACCATGAAACATTGTTTCCTAGCCATGTTTCTCGAAGGTGGGTAAACCATGAAACATTGTTTCCTAGCAATGTTTCTCGAAGGTGGGTAAACCATGAAACATTGTTTCTTAGCCATGTTTCTCGAAGGTGGACAAACCAATTAAACATTGTTTCCTAGCCATGTTTCTCGAAGGTGGGTAAACCATGAAACATTGTTTCCCAGCCATGTTTCTCGAAGGTGGAAAAACCATGAAACATTGTTTCCTAGCCATGTTTCTCGAAGGTGGGTAAAGCATGAAACATTGTTTCCTAGCCATGTTTCTCGAAGGTGGGTAAACCATGAAACATTGTTTCCTAGCAATGTTTCTCGAAGGTGGACAAACCAGGAAACACTGTTTCCTAGCCATGTTTCTCGAAGGTGGGTAAAGCATGAAACATTGTTTCCTAGCCATGTTTCTCGAAGGTGGGTAAACCATGAAACATTGTTTCCTAGCCATGTTTCTCGAAGGTGGACAAACCAGGAAACATTGTTTCCTAGCCATGTTTCTCGAAAGTGGGTAAACCATGAAACATTGTTTCCTAGCCATGTTTCTCGAAGGTGAGTAAACTATGAAACATTGTTTCTTAGCCATGTTTCGCGAAGGTGGACAAACCATGAAACACTGTTTCCTAGCCATGTTTCTCGAAGGTGGGTAAACCAGGAAACATTGTTTCCTAGCCATGTTTCGCGAAGGTGGGTAAAGCATGAAACATTGTTTCCTATCCATGTTTCTCGAAGGTGGGTAAACCAGGAAACATTGTTTCTTAGCCATGTTTCGCGAAGGTGGACAAATCATGAAACATTGTTTCCTATCCATGTCTCTCGAAAGTGGGTAAACCAGGAAGCATTGTTTCTCAGCCATGTTTCCCGAAGCTGAGCAAACCAGGAAACAATGTCTGCTATATACAGCCTTCTTCTCGAAAGTGGACAAACAAGAAACAATTGTTTCCGCTAAAAAAATCACATGGAGAAACAAAATATGTTTCTGAATTTATTGGGAAATATGTTTGCTTCGTGACTATTGCCTCTTAATAAACATATACCCATATGATGGCACGTGTAGTTGACCGACTATTGCAAGAGCCGGAATAACGAGAAGCGAAACAAATGACAACTTAAGTTTGTTAAGACCTGATTCCACGACGGCGAAATTCTTCGTGAGAAATTCTTCGTGAGAAATTGTGTCTGCGACATACGGATGGTTGCACGTGAGTGATTCTATTGAATTTTCCACTTTTTCCGCTTTCGCAGTGATTAGAACTGACTTCTACCCACTAGCTGGTAAAGCGAATTTTTTCCTTGCGAAGCCTAATTTATCTTTACTGCGCATGCACCTATAATTCATTCCGCGCGAAATTTTTCACATTTCGCCGAAGAAAACGCCCGTGGAATCAGGCCTTTTTTTTCCCTTTTTTTTTCAGGCCTTTTTTTACGTCGTAAACTCTGTTGACATTGTGTATATAACTATACTGTATTTTACTGTGTATGTCAATTGTTAAATACTAATAATGTCAATTGTTAAATATTGTAATGTACAACATACTACGTATTGTAATACTTGTTGTGTCGTATTATGTACTCCGTTGTATATATTGTATACTTTGTTATCTTATAATCAAACTCACTTGTAGCATAGAAGAGCCACTATGTGGAAATGCTATTAAATCATTATTATTATTATTATTATTAATATCCATTGCAAAACTGTAACATTCCAAACATTCCATACATTCTATTATACAAGAGCGCGCCTGCAAAATGTAGACGTTTTCAGTAGTGATCTCCGTTATGTACATTTCGTTTTAAGTCAGACACCTAGCTCTATCCCCATAATATTGCACGAAGCATGCAAAGTTTGCATAACTTTTTTGGGCCACGACAAACCATAGCACACGTGTCATAAATGTGTCAAAAGCATAGAAAAACTGCGTTCATGGAAACATAAAATCATAGCGTTAGAAGATGGAATCACCACCGGGCCAAAGTCAAATTTTGTCATGGGCACCCTAATTTCCCTGGGTACTGTTCAGGGTATGTTAGTTTTGGCATTTTTGAATATCAATTGTAGCTGTTTTACGGTTACACATTATTATAACAGTGTGATCAGACATTTTCAGGGCGTGCTTCTGCTCGGCTAAACTTGCACAAAAATGTGCAGTGATAAAACATTTTAATAAATTACGTATGATATAAAACCATGTATCAGTTAATAAAACAGCATTCATTGTCAAGATTGAAGACACTAGATTGGAGTGTCGAAACGTTGGGTCGTGGTGAATGCAGTTTGACTGGGCTTTGCATTCATTTATCAAAACCAGAGAAGCGAGCGAAAACATGACTGATATTATACCTGGTTGCCGTGAACTCACAAACTTTAAATCATTAAATTTATTACATTCTTTGTCAATGGTGCTCACAAGATTGATTTGTAAAAACAGCCTAAATCGTATACAATTGCCATTGGTCAACCCCGAGAACTAGGTTCGTTTCTCCTGGCTAAACAAAGTGTGCAATTGCAATCTACAATTACAAAACAACGCAATTAATGCTCAAATTGCATTCAATTGCAATTGGCGATAATTTCAATTGCACTGAAATTATAACAACTACAGTCGAACCCCTATAAGCGGACACCTCTCTTAAGCGGACACCTCTTTTAAGCGGACACAAATATCAGGTCCCATTCGTTTTCTTTAATAAAATACTATTATCGTAACCCCTATTAAGCGGACACCCCTCTTTAACGGACGCGGACACCTTACTTGAGGTCCCAATGGGCAAACCAACCTCTCTTAAGCAGACAGATGACAGATTTTCTGATAAAATGTATTCAATATTCGACAGTAAATAACAATTGAGATCAATTTACATGGCATATTGACAGTGACATACCAACCTGGCGCGAAGACATCAGAGCCAAGATTATTAAGGAAGTGACGAACGAAGACTGTGAGCCGCCAGCCAAGGAGCCGAAAGATATGTGTGAGATCACTGATGATGACAACGAACTGAACGAAGATGATGAATTTGACTGGTCTCTTAACGAACCAGTCATTAAATCTTCCTCCGAAGCTCTTAAATTTGTCGAGTGGCTGGCAGAATTCGCACAATTTCGAGGTTGGAAGAACTTTCTAACGTCATTTTTATGTGAATGACATTATAATGGGTTATCGTCTGCGTGAGCCTGGGAAGCAAACTTGTATCGATTCCTTTTCTTTGTGACTGTGAGAGACGTATACATTTTCTAATGAACTTTTATGCGCAAAGAAATTTTCATTTTATGCTAATTATTTGCTTGATATTTTTTACTGTTTTGATACTCAAATTACACACCTAATTACACCCCTTTGCCTACTGCTGTGTTTTTCTACATACCCCTTTTGAGCGGACACCCCTTTTAAGCGGACACTTAGGCGAGGTCCCGAAGGTGTCCGCTTAATAGGGGTTCGACTGTAATCAGATTGCAGCAACTGAGCCTGATTAACAAATGAGATATCACCATAATACTAAAATAAATTATACAACTTATATTTAATAATTAGACAACTTATCTAATTGTTAAATATTATTTCAGAATTGTCAACTAACCATTTGAAAACAAGCAAAGTAAAAACACCTTTAGCATTAGCCACTTACCAGTATTGAGCCAAATTTTTACACTCTTAATCTCAAACTTCGTGGACGAGTTGTTCGACCGGCAAACTACAAAGGATGGATCGTTGTAGCATTTCTGAAGGTCACTAAGCTTCCAGAAGTGGCGGTGCCCACAACGGTCTGAATGACACTGGATCTCATGATGACGAGAACATCTTCCTTCTTCTTTACCAAAACAGCAGGTACATTTCACTTCGAGGTCATAGCTGGTCATGCTGAATAATAGTTGGTCTGGAGATTTAAGGTCGTGCAAGCAATTTTTCAAGGTGGTTAGAAAATGACTGGCAAACTTGAAATGGTTGCCATCCTGTTTTGGAAAAACGGCAATCTTAATGAACTCGTGGAGATCGATTAAATGAACATCATACACGTCGCCGTCTATAATAAACAGAAGCGAGGAGTAGTTGCAGTAGAATGAAGGCGTGGCTTGTTGATGGGGAAAGCCCTTTTCACACTCAGAAATTAACCTCACTTGAAGCTTCGTAAACGGCCTGTTTACAAGTTTGCGAGGAAATGTCACAAACAGCGTTGGACCACTGCTAGCTTCCAACTCTTTTCCTGGCTTCGTAGCTGGGGCAACTGAAGGGACATAAAAAGCTGCCTTTCCCTCGTGCTGGCAACGACAAATCAAATTAAACTTTTGCATAAGCTCTTCTAAAAGTTCTGCGTCTTCCAGCGTCTGAAAATATTCTCGAAACAAAATGCCTTTCTGCTCGAACACATCAAGAGCGTGCCTGGACAAGGCATCCAATTGGCCAGGCATGGAGATCACTTGCGTAAAGCGATTCATTAACCAGTGAGGATCCAATACAACCTTGCTGGATCCATTGTGGTGTACGATCACACCTTGACGGTGTAGAAACTTGATAGCTTGATCAAACTCTCGAATGCCACAGGCCTCCGCTTTCCGCTTAGCTTCGTCGACTGGGATATACTTGCAATCTGGTGATAGCTTCTGGCTTAGAGCAACTTCAAAATTTAGCCATTTCACAGGCATTAAAATCTCCTGGTTAAGGACTGCATTCGAGTAGTCAAAAAGCTCTCTACGAAGCTTTCGTACGTCGTCTCCATCGTCGCCTTCCAATGTGTTGTCGATCAGGAAAACCCCAAGAATGACATTCTTATAGTCACTTGCAGACACGACATTTTCGATTCTCTCTTTTACGCTAAGTATTTTGGGGCCGTTACCTTTCACCTTATCACTATGAGTTAAGGCTATTAATACCGGTGGGCGTTTAAAATTACGACCGTCTGCAGTAGTACAGTGACCAGTTTCATCAGGGAACTGTTGACCTTGGTATTCTCCTAAACCTTGCAGAAACTTCAACCATGATGTAAAATTATCTAAATTGGTATTAAGATGAGGATTGTTCATCTCTATCTCTTTCTTTTCAGCTTTGTCTTTAAACTTGGGAACGGCGGGTTTATCAAACTCCAGAGAAAGGTCGTGAACCAAAACATAAGGACAATGCGGTTTCACAAAGCAGCCATGGGTATCGTAATAGATTGACTGTCCAGCAAAGTCACTTACAAATACCCGAAGAACATTTTTCTGGTCGTGTTCAGTGGACCTGTGCGATTTGATTTTGGATATTTCTTCTCTTAATAATGGCTTCTCTGGCAATGGCATCACTGGCATCACTGGCTTCAGTGGCTCTGGCGCATCCCCTTTTAAATTCCTCTGAAATCCTCTATCAAAGTACTCGGCCGTTTTTTTGTATATCACAGACTTTGCCTCACCTTCATTGGTCATAAACTCTTTCACTTCTCTCTTTTTCCAGGGATCTTCTGCATTTTGTTCTGTTAGCTCGATAACATTAACGTCAATACCAGTGGTACTGGGTTGATCTTTGTTGAATGGTAATCCTAAAAGACGTCTCATCAGCGACGTCTTTCCGCCTCGGTCTTGGCCGACCAGCATAATCGGAATTCGATTATTTTTTGCTTTACCTTCTTGGAGAGCTTGCGAATATGCACGCCTATATTTTTCCTCTTCACGATCTTGACAAAATAAAGTTAAAACAAGATTTAGCACTACGTAAAATTAAATATAACCTAAACCAAATGGCTCTCTATAAAGCGACCCCCCCTCTACTAAGTGCCCTGCCCTAAACGTGTAAGATAGTTTTTTTATGTTTTTAAAACAAGATTTTCGAATTTTTGCTTAAAACATCAATCTGTATCTTCATTGTAGATTTATAGTTCCATACCTACTATTTTAAGAGGATCAACAAATAGATTTCGAAAATTACTCCTGCATGCCCTGGAAAGGCTTTCCTGCTGCTAGAAAAAAATCGCTCATAAAGAAGCTAAAACGTAAATATTTTTCGAATGCTAATCGGGTTTTTACGGACAACATCAATGCCGGACTTGCATATTTTGAAGTCAAGAAATGTATTAAACCATAGGGAAAAAGTATCAACCGTAGATTTAAAATATGGTGGAGTGTCCTCAGCACGACAACGGTAACATTTAATAATCCCCGAGCCAACGGTGCGGAGCGCCGTTCTGGGCGTAAGCCCGGGGCGAGGGTACGAATTCCCCCTTTTGCAAGATTTTGTGAATTTCAAAAGCTTTTTAAAAAGAAGGGAGCAAAGGCGCCGACGTGAATGAAGGTAAGTTTGTTTTAATTAGAGAGGTTAAGATACCCCGGTTTCGTTGACGGGTACGAGTAGCATGATTTTGGTTAGCAATATTTTCGTCGATGTCTGTACCTTTACTCGTAATTAGGGTGCACATTTTTCGCTTTATATCATTGTCTATTGCAAGAAAACAGAAAAAGTATGATCGAATTACAGACATCAGTAAAACAAAATGATACTACTCGTACCCGTACACCGAAACCGGGGTATCTTAACCTCTCTAATATTAAGAGGCATTGTCTGCAAGAACGGTCCAGCGAATTCTGACTCAATTTTCGTTTGACTTCATAATATATCTATAACTTCCTTGATGCATCCTGATTCTTGTTCAAAAGTCATTTCTTGAAAATTTTCTTATTTTTTGTTTATCTTCAAATATACTAGACATGTTCAGGAATCCAAAATAACGCTCATGATTAGGTCGGATATTTGCAATTTTTCTAACGTCGTGTCGAGGGTCTACAGAACATGTATCCGTGTTTTTTTATTGAATAATGTATGTTCTTTTCACGAAAGTTATAATAAGCCAAATATCTATTTGGAACGGGCGATTTTGTGTGAACGAGTGGCAGTAATATTTGCCCCATTGGAGTCCGTCATTCATGATCGAAAACCTAATGGATTCCACAAGGCGTAGTAAAAAAGTGGATTGCTTCTGAAATTTAAATCCTATTAAAATATGTAGATGAATAACTAAGTTATTCATACCAAATGAGAAAAGTATTGGTCAAACTCATTTCCCGCGACAAAGGAAGGAGTCTTTATGGAGGCAAATCTTCCCCTATGCATGGGCGGGCTGGCATTTATGAGATCGTGTACTAGCTACTATTTCTTGTAATTCTCGTCTTAGGTTTATTGGAGAACAATTCTAGTCCATTTAGTTAAAATTTCACTCTGTATGACAGAATTTTGTAAACTGGAGATGGATATTTCTCCATACAAACGTGATTACGCGGCAATACATCTCCATTCGGTGGTCACCCGTCATCAATTAAAAGCTCTAAAATATATAAATACACGCAACAAATCAATGTTTGTGTTTAAAGAAGGCGTTTTATAACTTTTCCTTCTATTATTTATTAGATAAAAAGTATTTTAGACCAATTCAGTCACCATTATCGAAAAGTAGTTTGTGCATGTTTGAAATATATTTGTAGTTTTGTTTATAATATGCATTTCGCAGATAATTAAAAGAGCTGTCGATTTCAATGTTTCTTTTAATATCCGGTTTCAATAACTGATTCAGTACAGCGCTTTCGTTTTTTGGCATGCTTTTTCTTTATTCTCTTTAATAAAGGGGGGCCGGGGGATTTTTTCCGGATATTTCAAAAAAAGGTCCAAAAACTTTTTCCGGACAAAAACCAGTTAAATTAAGGTTCAAAAAAAATTTCCACAAAAGTAAAACACATTTTTTCAGACTACTAACCAGTAAAATTAATGTCTAAAATTTTTTTCTCATATCGTTATCTATATAAAAAAACGTTCCAAATAAATTTTTTTGTTAATTACACCTTTTGTGACCCCCCCCCCTCCCCTTTGCAAATTTGGGGCCCCACTTTAACTGGGGCCCCGGGACAGATTGCCCCCTTTGCCCCCCCCCCCTCCGAGAGGCCTTGGTCAGTTATATTTATGCTTGTCCAGATCTCCGCAAATCGACTGCATTATTATCCATAATCTTTATTGTTTTATACAGCTATTTGCTCTAGCTGCCGAAAAAGTCACAAAACAAATGTAGATAAAGATCAGAGGAAAACGCCTGGTTAAGAAGCGAAAGCCGTTCTCCAGAAAGTCCAGAGAAATTGACCCACTATGCGGGGTATAAATAAAACATGATGCGTGGTATATGATGTGACAATAAGAGTACTTCAAGAATTATAAAAGTAAACCAAAGACGCGTATAAGCTTTTCACTGCCGGTATAAAAAACTCAATCTTTGTAATAAAAATGGAAAAGCAGTTGATTATAGTTATTATATGTTTTCCTCTATCATGAGTCCATCCGCTCATTTTGCTAGCACCATCACGGATCCGAAAAATTTTGTTTTCGTTCAAGTTGTATATAGCTATCAGTGGTTTCAAAATAAGCCGTCGCCCGTCGCATCCGACTGCAACTCTTCCATTTGCGACGGCTACTTTTTCTTTTGTAAGTAACTAAAAATCCTGTTAAAATACCAAAGTGTTTACAGAACGTTTTGTGAGCAAACAAGTGTGTATTTCCCCTGGAATTTCGTCGAAACATAGCGACAGTCGCAGATTAGAAGCTTTGGTAGTGATGGGCGATACTATCGAAAAAGTATCGAAATCATCGATACTTACAAAAGTATCGATACTTTCGATACTCGCAAAAAGTATCGGTAATTCGATACCACTAAATACTCCATGAACGCAACAGACTGAAGGCCCCTGAAGGCAAAAAAATGTTGACATGATGCTGTTCTTAAACAAAAACATGTAGCTAATTAGCAATATATTTGAGGAAAACATTGGTGTTTAGATTTAAAATCATAATTGCAAATGTTATGTTCGATTATTTGGCAGGTACTCCAGTTAAAATATTCTTTGACTTGTTTTAAACATTAATGTTCTTGTTTTAAAAGTTATTTTAATAAATGCAAAAAATTGAGTATCGGTATCGATTTTGGTATCGGTATCGATCAAAATTCATGGTATCGGACTGGTATCGTATCGAAACCAAAAAAGCTGGTATCGCCCATCACTAAGCTTTGGTACGTCTTGCGCGCGCTGAGGACAGGCTCAGAGCAGTGCTTCCACTTTCAAAATCGGAAAAATCCTTATTTTTTCCCAATTTGAACTAAAATTTTTAAGAATTTCTTCCATTTTTACGTAGATTTTCGCAAAATCATGCCAGACTATTGCAAATAAAAATGTTTTGAATATGGTTGCTGCAATAGATCAAACAAGCTATGTGGAGTTTACATTGATTCGTCATTAAAAGTCCAATAATTTAATTAAGCAAATTAAAGGTATTTACTGTAAATTATTTAGTGCTCAGTGGCATTTAAAACAACTATGGTTTTGTTGGGTGATGTTTACTGTATGTAAACGTTGTTGTTATAGGCAGCCATTAATTATAAGAACATTAATTTAACAGTGTTTTAGACATTTAAAATATGATTTTTTGTGCTAGAGTCTAGAAGTTCAAAATTTTCTGGAAGCATGCCGTCAGATCCTCCAAGTTGCGAAGTTCGGCCTTCGGTTGCAACTCCTACTCTTCCCAACGCAACGTCTACTGTGAAATGTTTTGAAACCACTGGCTATGCATGTACGTAGTTACTTTACTCTTACTATGTTTTATAGTTTTCTGCTTTCCAGGCAGGTGAAGCAAGGATGTATGTGCTCGGGCCCGACACCAGCTCAGATTATATAAAGACACGATAACTGAAGCACTACATTCTGCACATTTTATTCAAACTTCTCACTCGCAAATAATGAAGCGTGTAGCTTTTCAGAACACATCTGACCAATATACAGATTACTTCAATAAACTAATAAACTATGTATGCTTTTAACTTTTTGCCTCTTAAGACTTTATATCGCCATATCGCCATATTGCCCAGTACCTCGCAAAGTGGGTCAATTCCTCTGGACATTCTGGAGAACGGCTTTCGCTTCTTAAGCAGGCGTTTTCCTCTCTATCTACATTTGGTTTGTGACTCTTTCGGCAGCTAGAGCAAATAGCTGTAAAACAATAAAGATTATGGATAATAATGCAATCGATTTGCGGAGATCTGGACAAGCATAAATATAAATGACACTCAGCCGAAAAACACAATTTCGCGATAGCCGGATAATTGCATCCGTGTAGGCCCTTAATCTTGCTCCGAGAGGTACAAATACCCCACATACTGTTTTTGCACATCTTTGCACATTTGCAAGCTAAAAAGTAATAACACCTCTTCCTTTTACGAATTTTCGAGTCCTGTGTGGGTTGGGTGATATATAACACAAAATCAGTTCAACTTCAGAAACGATTTCTCCGAGGTGTCTCCGCACGCACATTATCATTGTATGAAGAAAGCCGAAATATCTCACTCAGTCCTCGACAGTCTCTACATTGTTTTGGATCCTTTTTACTTAAAAAACATTTGCCA